AATAAGGTTTGTCATATGTAGATAATTGTTAAAGCTGGGTGACCAATGTATAGGGCCCATTATACTATTTTTTCTAACTGAGAATTTCTATTATGTAATAGAGATAGAGTTATAGATAGAAAGGAAGAGAGAGATAGAGGGGGAAGATTGAGAGCAATGGAAGCCTTATTTTTTATGTCATGTTGATGATATTGAGAATCAAAGAAAATCAGACTGTATAAAAATGATAACAAGCACAGTAAATTTCAAAAACTGGAGCAACCCAAACACTGCTTTTATTAGATTGTCATTTGCTGCTCCAATGCATGAAATGAGGCACTCTTCTTAGATGCCTCATATGGTTCTGGAAATAAAAATGGCTCTGAGTGATAATACTTCTCACTGCATACAGGGGTAAAATACTCCACAAGTCCCTGAGTAATGAATTACTGTCATCTGACAAGAGCCAATATCAATTTCACAGAAGCAACCAAAATGTGCAGTTCAGATTATAGAAAATTATCATCATTCTCTTCCTCTGGCTTGCCACCTGCATGGTAAAGACTGTTAGTTGAAGCTGAGGAAGTGCTTGGAGCTGAGCACTAGACATTGGAGTAAATTGCTTCCCTGAAACACAATTTGCAGATGTGGTGCTAAAGTGTTAAAAATGCTGAGTCATCTGGAATAAATTGCTCACAGCCTTTCCCCAAGATAACACCGGAGCACAATGCAGAAAAACACATTTTTATTAACCTCAAACGCTTAATTATGGGTCATTTATCAGAAAACTGGTATGCATTTCTCTTTCTCTTTTAAAGCAGAGTCTTCATCAGACGAAATAATGACACTTTTTGCATTGGCTTCAGCTAGTGTGTCCTACATACTTAAAGAGTTAGAGAAAAGAATAAAGCTCAGAAAAAAAGATGTATTTTGGAAACTCAATATTCAGACTATGATAGAATCCAGATTCCATTATACTTAAGCTCTGTATGGTTTCTTGCAAAATCTTCCTTGCAAAATGATCCTTTTTCAGAGGTTGTCCTGGTGATAATGTAAATATCTGAGTCACTGATCATAAGGTTTCCTCTGGACCACTGTTAAACAAGTCTGCAATTCCCACTGTCTGAGGGAATGCCTTGCTACATATCCATCCCCCGATGCATGCAGATGGAGGTGAATCCAAGTTCAAACGGGTGTGCTAAACCTAAGTCATTTTTCTGGAGAGAGTTTTCAAAGTCTTGCTTCTGCAAAGTATATATCAATCTGAAAATTCATCTCCAAGACCATCTTCCTATCAATATTTGTGTTTAAGAAATTTCTTCAGCAAGCCTCCAAGGAGAGCCATAATTCGAAAATCTGTGTTACTCAATGGAAAATTTCCATAAGAATTTGTAGCATAAATGAAGACAACCATATATTCTTTCTGATACATTGGGGCTGAGCAATTTCAAATGTTCCAAGAGATCTGAATGTAGAAATTTATAAACCTCTTTTGAAGAATATATGTTTCTATGCATACTCACTGGAGTAATTTGTAGGTTTATAGAGTCAGAATAAAAACTGGAAAATTATTTAGATAAAGATGTATTTAGATAAGAATTATTTAGATGAAATTATTTAGATAAGAATATTGGGTAATAAATACCGAGCTATTGAATAAGTATATATATTTGTGTGTACATGTACTTACATACATGAATGTATTTACACACACACATACACATACCTTTAGAGAGTAGATATTATTGGGAAGGTTATTGCATGCACAATTCCGTAAGCTTCCTTCCACATGAAAGCACTCTAGAAAAGTGAGAATGTTGAAGTAAAAAGAAAGAGACATGTGTGTGTGTGTGTGTGTGTGTGTGTTATGAGAGGAAGAAAAAGCACAAACATGAAATAAATGAAATACATGGTTTTCCATTTGCTTCAAATTCCTCCTTGAATTGTGTTTGTTTTTGTTTGATCCATTTATAGTCTCCAGTTCTTCCCAATACAGACTTAAAATGATCCCAATACAATTTTAATGCCTTTGTATTGTTTGCTCTTCTGTATGGTTTGCAATTGGCAGTCGCTGCCAGGTCAATAACTCATTCATTCAAAGTTAACTTTTTGATGCCTTATTTTCGGGGACTACTACTAAATTAGACATAGGTCATATTTCAATAACAGAGGTGACATTTTATTTCTGTAAAGACAAGTAGTGATTTATTTTGCACAGGAGAAAGGATATTTCCTGTATAGCTTAGAAAATGTTCTGCCACCTGTCTCCTGTTTCCCAACCTCACAATAAACAGTATAAGGGGAGGGAGGGTTTGTTTTTGCTGTTGTTGTTGTTGTTCCTCTCACAATCCTGTACTAGGTAACACTCTTAGTTTTCATTTTATACATATTATCTCTAATCCTTAAACAATCTGGAAAAGCAGCTGTCATTGTCCTCATTTCCTGATAAAGAATCTGTAACTCAGAAGTTTAAGTAACTTGCAACAATCATACTTAAAAATATATTAAGCTTATTTATGTGTTTGGCTCTAAAGTGCCCTGGCAGGAAAAAACTTAAAAACCAAAACATAGCGAATTGATTCCAATAACATATGTCACGTTGCAGAATATAAAGGAGAATTTGGTAAAATAATGGTCAAGATTAAATCAGCACACAGCATAGAGAACAAAAACAATTGTTTCCTTTTTCTCAGGGAATGCACACTGAAGTGCTAATTAAACTTTAGGCACAATGATTCAGCTGATGCCTTCGCTATAATCATCATCATCATCATCATCAAGTACTGATTAGGGTTCTATGATGTTGGGACATCATGCTAAGATCTTGCAACTTATTAAAGTTATGCAACGTATCCACAGATAGGGAAAACCATCAGGTGTGAGCTCTGATTGTCATTTCTTTTCCATTTTGAAGTCTCCACTTATACTGGAGAGTGGCACAGCATCTGAGAAAAAACAGGGCCATTGTGGTCAGACAGACCAGAGTGACCACGGACAAGCGTTATAAAACTTAGAGTTTCATGTAGTTTTCAGTATAATGTTGGTTACATGAGACATGTCCAATGAGTTATTATTGTTATTGTCACAACTTTTATTATTATGTAAGTTAGAAGGTACATAACCTGACAGAACAACCCTTTCCTTTCATGCTGACAAGCTGGTAACTATGTCATCTTCTCGACACATGAAAGGAGTTTAAAATATTTTCCCTACCTTCAATTTCTAAACACTCCAAAAATAAAATGATTATGTTTGGAAAAACAAACCTTAAAAAATTAGAAACCCAAAAGAAGCAAATGCCGAATGCTAAACCGTCACAACCTTGTACAAAATGCTCCTACAATAAAAATTTTGACCCAGTGGCCAGATACCTTGACTTAAGAGGGCAATGTTTTCATCACAAAGTGATTAGAGTTTAATAAAGTCTTCTGTGAGTAATTATAAAAAAAGAAGTGAGGAAGATCATGACCTTACATGTAATTAAACTTCAGGTTGCTAATTCTTCCATAGGTTGATTAATAAAGAGTGGGTTCCAGCATACTTTTTAAAGTGTGAATATATGTACTCAGTCATGGAATAATCTCATACATACAGCTATAAACACAACTTGCTTTGTTCTTAAAATAAATATTACATTTTAAAGAAAGAAAAGTATTGAGTTTAAATCCACCTTAATTCTTCCAAGCTAAGTGAGCCAAGAATGTGAGAGCAAACGCTCTGGCTTCACCAGACAAAATAAGGTTCATTCCTAGCTCATGATTTATTAAATACGAAACTTTGTGCAAACTATTTAGCCTTTCTGAACATTAGTTTCAGCAGAACAATGGCCTAATAATAGTACCATCTGAGTAGGATTAGTGCAAAGACCAAAGGGAATAGTTCTTGCATGTGCCTTGCACAAAATTAGGGGTCAATAAATGTTAACTTTCATTATATTCAAGTTACACACAAAATAAATGACTTAGAACCTAGCATCCCACTCTTACAAGTTATTCTTTATTGGTGCCTCTTTATCTTAATACTGTATTGCCCTCAAAACAACTCAACAAATAAAAAAAATAACAAAAGAGGTAAATCCCTTTCAAAAATGTACAGAAATATCAGAGATAAGGCTGCAATATTTAATAAGGAATCAATGATTTAAAACTCCAAATATCAAAAAAAAAATAAAACTCCAAGTATCAGGTCTTAACTGATTTTAAAGATATTTCCATTTCTATACAAAGATTTCCACAATCTTTTCACAAATTATCAGTATGAAAACTGAATTCAAATAATCCTAATTTTTCCTTCCTAATGGTTGGACCCATATAATATGTTCCTAATTCCTATTTTCTTTTTTTTTCAATTTTTACACATCTTAAATATAAGTTTAAAATATCAGAATTTATCTTCTGGGAATATTAAGTTCAACTATGCTACCGAAGAATATTTATTTTGCCACATTCCTGTTGCATCTTCATTTTTTAAAGAAGGAAAATGAAGGCAAATGCTTTAGACTTAAAAAAAGATATTTGGAAGAAGTCGAAGCATGGCAAAAAAATACCTCATCTTTGGAAAACAGCAAAAGGCAAAAACAGATTATCACCAACAGAAAGCTAAATTGCACAGCAGAGTTGAGCTCCTAACACTAATTGATTCTTCCAGGATAAAAATGGAACAGAACCAAGAGATTATAATGAGCATCATTTGGTACTAAAGAAGACCCCTTTCGCAGTGGGTGTGCAGTCAAATCTTACTGTGATCATTATAGGCTCATCTTCCTTGTTCACGTACCCAGGATAAAGGCTTTGGAAAGAGCCACTGGCATTTCAAATTGCTCAGTCTTGCTTGCAGACATTTTTCTTTTTTCTTTCATTCTTTCTTTCTTTTTATTTTATTTCTTTTTGCCTTTCTCAGAAAAAAATTAGTTTGCCATGTTAGTAGAAGAATGCTTTGGAGAGCAGCACTGTGAATGTGCAGAGAACAACAGTGCAAGTAGCACTAGAGTATTAGGACATTGACGAGGGAAGAGAAATTACCTGTGGGCATTTGCTCCAAAGTCCCCACTCAGACATGACACATTCGTTGGGACACAGAAGAGAACAGGACTGGGTTTCTGGGGGAATTTCATCCTGGTTGCACAGGCTGCTATTCACTGCTCCACCTTCACTGTCAGCAGTGTTCACACACCTGTAGGGCAAGGTCACAAGACAGCTTGATTACTTAAAGCAGGGGAGAGTATATTTAAAATAGTTATGATGTATTTGATTTGATCAGGTCCCATTTATTTATTTTTGTTGTTGCTGTGATTGCCTTTGGGGTCTTCTTCATAAATTCTTTGCCTAGGCCAATGTCTAGAAGA